GGAGGGAGCTTTAATGATACTTCGTATACAAGGGAGACCGACATCTCAACAGTTATAAATTTTCTTTTCTTTCTTTTATAATTTAAATAAAAAATTACACACAGGGTAGCATGTTTTGTGATGTATCAGCACCTTCGACTGTCTTGTAATTACTACAGATGATCATCCCCTTAATTAATTATGAAAAAAGTACTAAAAATAACAACAGCAGTATTTATATTTAGAACTAATTATCACACTGGATCATCAACCATCAAGTGGGTCAAGGCGAGATATAGCCAACGAGATGCGCGCATCAGATAGTATGGATGCTCCTCAAATGACTACGCCACAACGTTATTTTGCCCCTGCTGTTCGCCAGTCAATTGTTACCCAAAAGCAACATGGGGCAATTCTTTACTTAAATGAATTATCGGTCAAAACATTTTTCTTACTCAGGATTCGAATAGGGATACCCCGAGTTCGAAGTTAACCCCTATGCCACAATTTATGCCCGTCAAATACGCCATATTTCAAACATTTCGACTAACAGCCCACAACTGATTAACGGAAGGGTTTACAGATATATAGTTAAAATCTACTAGAACAACAATAGGGATTACACCTTGTGCGAACTGTCCATCAACCTGGATAGTCCGCTATGAACTGTCAATCCACTTACCTTACATGTTTATGATTTGGAGCCATCTGTAGCGTTAATTAATGTTCACTTAGGATGCGGCGTTTACCTCCATTACTATGCCATTAGTCAGAAGAGCCTCGTTTTAAAGGCAGAGTTGAGAGTTTTGAAACGAAGAAAGGCGAGTTATCTGACTGGACTTCGAATTCGAGACTGGACGAAGGTGCACTGCAGCCGGAAGAAGAGCTCGTATCAGACACTACCGCCCTACCTCTCGCCGTTCAGGTATAACAACGCTAAAAATGCTAGCGTCCTCGTTTTTCGCAAATCAACTTGATAGCAGCTGCTTGATTGGTTGCAGCGAAGCGACGTAGACTGAATTAGTCACTCAAAGGAAACAGTGCTAAAAAGAGAATTTTTTGTTGATTTCAATACCCCCTCCACATCAGGTTTGCAACTCGTGGCCGACCTGTTGCCTTTATACCACCACCCACCGCCCTTCTCACTTACCTCAATCCTAATATAGCTTTTAGCGAAACTTTACTTAGGATAAGAAATGACAACATGTCACGATACGTACCGAGCTGATGGAAGGTAAGATGTTCGGCGATTTCGGGGTTATTCGTCATGACGCATCCCATTATGACATCGCTGTGTCCTGCAAAAGAAAAACAATTAAGTATACACGGTTCCAGCAGCGGTCACCACCCACCGTTAATGTATTTGGTCACAGAATGGACGACCACGTCGGCGCCAAGTTCAAGCGGGCGCTAAAGAAAGACAAGGGGTCATAGAAGGAAGGAGAATCGCCAAATTCTAACAAAGATCAAAAAGCACAAACTTTACTACCTGAAAGTACGGCGACATAAATGTGTTGTCGACTGCCACCAGGACACCCGGGTATTTCTTTACAGCATCGCACACCACCCGAATGTCAATGATCTGCAGTATCGGGTTTGACGGAGTCTCGATCCATACCAGCTGGAAACAAAGACAAAATTGAGGGCGGAGGAACTAGTAAAGTAAAACGATGGCAAAAACGCTCAACCACCTTAACATCATCGGTCATGTGCTTTTCGATGCTCTCAAGCGTCATGTTCACCATCGAATGCTTGATGCCGTATTTGATGGCGATGCGCTTCAGGAAACGATTCGTTCCGCCGTACACGTCGTTGCAGCTGATCACTGAGTCGCCGATGTTCAACAGACTACACACGGTCATGGTCGCCGCTAAGCCGCTGGAAAACACACGGCCTGAAACGAATGCACATAGCCTGGAAGAGAAAGTTCAGTTACAGGCGAGCACTGCGGCAAGTCATAAAATTTTGTCTCTACCTCTCAGTTATGACAATAATCACACCCTAACCCCGTCGATGTAACCGAAAGCACAGTTTTGCTTAACAGACGGCTTCGGTAACCTAAATGCGAACGCCCCTTCGTTTCTTGTCATTAGAAGTCTGTCCCTTGGTGACATGTCGTTGTATCAACAACAAGTACCTGAACATTTGATACCAGCCATGTCGGATCTGTTATCCTACCAGGTGAACGAATTTCGCGTAAACGACAACTGTGCTTAGCATCACTTAACGCCCTAATGACAAAACAGCGCCTGTACGGCAGCACAATCTCACCTAAACTTCAACCATTCAAAGAACATGTGATCAATAAATCGGCCTTTATTCATTTTTAGTCGAAGAGCAGAAGTTCTGTAGTTTAGTGCTCTGTATACGTTGCTAGTTCCATCGAGGATCTCCAGAGAAAATTTTCCTTGGTTTAGGCCGCGTCTAATCGGAGAGCAGGTCAGCCGATTGAGCTACATGATCCGATTAGCAACATACGCAAAAAATGAAGATTCAAGGAACATCGCATTAGTGCCGTAGCAGTTTACAGCAACCAGTAGACTGTAGATGACGCTCTGCACAGATACAGCGAATTAGCCTCAGATTTCAATGTTATACCAAGCCATGAAAACAGGCCATGTGTTTCAGCAGAATATGCTCAGATACTTCGCCAAACAAGAAGAAAAAACAAAAAAGCAAAGGAACGCAATAAACATTAAACAAATGTATGACGTGACTGCAACAATGGCATCTCATCAATGGGAGTCATTAACATTGCAAAAACGAAATTATTCTCCCTAGGGTTGCCGGAACAAGAGTCCTCATTATGGTATCGTCCTGAAAGAACAGCCACCAGTTTCGATGATACCACGGGGGAAGTAGCGAAACGTGTTGGAAATAAACCTTTCACCACCTACTGTATTTCGCGTCCTGAACTATGAATCGTTCAACCACCTGTTCATAAAACTGTTCAGAATCATGTTTTTTAAACCAACTGAGGAGCCTCTCTCCATACGACGTCAAATTCATTGCCGAAGTTGAAAAAGCATTGCAATGGCTCTCGCACTCTAACTCATTCAAACACCTTGCTCATTACGCCAGTTACGAACAATGGCTTAGCAGGAGCAACAAACACGTTTGTCGAACGTACATTACAGAGGGAACAACCACCACTGAGGAACACGAGACGTCGTAAACCCGGTGTTAGGTACTGCGACTGAAACACTGCTCTTGTTGTAAATGAACGTACGAGTGCTAATGAAAGTAGTTGTATTAATAAACAATAAACGAATGGTAGAAAACTATTTCACTCAGTCTGGAAGTCTA